TGGACTCACTGTTAAGACTGTGTTCATGGAAGACAATCTTACTCGACTATGAGTGAGCGCCAAAGAAGAAGAAGAAGAAGCTTCCCAGGCCCCTGTGGGGCATTTAGAGGAGGCACCTCTCTTTGGGGCAAGGGGGGGGCAGCTCAGAGACCAAGGGCAGCAGCAGCGGCTGCCCAGAGGACTCCCAAGGAGAAAAGAAGACAAAGAATTTGGACTTGATATAGAAGAAGAAGAGTTTGCACTTGATATCTTGCCTTTCACTCCCCTTAAGGAGTCTCAAAGCGGCTCACAATCTCCTTTCCCTTCCTCCCCCACAACAAACATGCTGTGAGCTGAGTGGGGCTGAGAGACTTCAGAGAAGTGTGACTAGCCCAAGGTCGCCCAGTAGCTGCAGGTGGAGGAGCGGGGAAGCGAACCTGGTTCACCAGATTACGAGTCCACTGCTCTTAACCACTACACCATGCTGACTGGGGAGAAGGGGAGGAGGGAATACTCCTTAAGGGAGGGTGTTTGAAAAGGGGTGAGGGGCTGCCAGCTGTGCAGGCAAGGGGTGACCTAACTGGGCTCCTGAGCCCCACAGAGGAGCTGCAGAAAGAGTGTAGTTGGTCAAGGGAGCTGTGGTTGAAAACCTCTGATCTAAAGTGTCTAGGGACAAGATTTCAGCGGTGTTTATTTCAACAGGCAAGATTTAACCACACCCTTAGCTCACTCTTTGAAATTAAGAGGATGTAAAAGGTCTTAGAAGAGGCTAGATTGATAGTCTTATCAATCAATATTCACAACGAAATAATCCAAGTCAGGATAATACTAAAGGCTTTTCTCTGCAAAAGGAATTGAACTTACAAAAAGCAACAGCTCCAATGGTGGCGAAAAAAAGGATCAGGCACATCATTATTGTAATATATGTACCAACAGGAGATTGAAAAGCAGCTAGCTTCCCTTGAAAGACAAAAAAAGAAAGAAAATTTGGCTTTAACTACAGTGAGCCAACGTAAGACTTTTGCTTCAGTTAGTAATATAGCTTGGTCCTTTTGTGTGTGTGTGTGTGTTGCAGTACTTGCTTATATATACTATCATTTGCATATATACAACTATATAATGCTTATAACTATATAATGGTTGGACAGTGTTCTCGAAGCTACCAGCATGAGTTTGACCAAACTGCGGGAGGCAGTGGAAGACAGGAGGGCCTGGCGTGCTCTGATCCATGGGGTCACGAAGAGTCAGACATGACTAAACGACTAAACGACAACAAAAACAAATGCTTTAAGAAACAAAACATTTGAATGAATCCATACATCATCAGGGGCGTTTTCGAAATGTATCTGTCTTAAATAATCTATATTTCCCCCAAAGCATGCCTGCATTCTCCACACCTGACATCATATGTGGCTGCTTCCCTGCAGCAGAAGTCTGGGAACAACCAGTTAATTTGTATTAGCAGTAGTATCAACTGAGTCAAGAAAATGCAAATAAACAGATGAAGTTAATTAAAGTTCTTGAAGCCAGGTAACAAAACTAATTTAAAATGAGAAATATTTGGGTTGACAGTAGTTCCTAAGTAGAAGAGTATATTTCTATAAAAGAATTTATCACCCCCGCTATTTATTTATTTAATTTTATCTGTAGATCTCAGGATGGTTCATAACATAAAAATAAAAGTCCAAAATACATAATTAAAACAAGAACAAGAGCAAATCGAAGCCGCAGCCTCCCCCCTCCCCCAAGCACATTTAAAAGTACAAAGAAAATTAATCAGACAAAGGTCTGGTTGAAGAGGAACATTTTCACCTGGCTCCTAAATATATATAATGAAGGTGCCAGACGAGACTCCCTGGGGAAAGCGTTCTACTACAGCGACCTTTGCCAACCTGAGGTTCTCTATATGTTTCGGACTAACGCTTAAAAAAAATTTTTTTTTTTTTTGGTATACTGTCCTTTATCTCCGGATAGTTCACAACATAGAAAATGTAGTATAAAAAAGACAAAATACATAATCAAAACAAGAACCTAACCAATAACCACACCTCCCACAAGACATTTCAGCGGCGCTGACCTGGGCCCGCCCACATTGTGATGTCATGACACACACTGTCAGGGACTGGAGGCGCCTTTAATTTTAGTCCAATGTTCCAAATTTCGAAGGCGCTCTGCCTCTTGCCATTGTGTTCTATGGAGGCAGCCTCTATGACCCAGCTTCTTTGGTGGCAGGAGAGGGTACACAGATGGCCACGGGTACCCTGTTTCCTGGAATCGCCTCAGGGATTTTCAGGAGGTTTTACAGCCTCACATAACCCATCTTCCCTCTGTCTGAGTCTCTCCCAAGAATGGGAGAGCTGCCATCATGGCCCCAGACAGGAACAGAAAACCTCCCCTTTCTGTGCTTCTCATTACAGGATGAATAATAATAATAGTTTTTTATTTATACCCCCCTCCCAATCTGGCCGAGCCTCCCCAGCCACTCTGGGCGGCTCCCAATTGAGTGTTAAAAACAATACAGCATTAAATATTAAAAGCTTCCCTAAACAGGGCTGCCTTCAGATGTCTTCTGAATGTCAGGTACTCGTTTATCTCTTTGACATCTGGTGGGAGGGTGTTCCACAGGGCGGGTGCCACCACCGAGAAGGCCCTCTGCCTGGCTCCCTGTAACTTCACTTCTCGCAATGAGGGAACCGCCAGAAGGCCCTCAGCGCTGAACCTCAGTGTCCGGGCTGAACGATGGGGGTGGAGATGAACCACTGCTAGGTGTGCAATGTACATACCTGCCATATATTGTTGTCGCTTTCTCATTCCTAGTTTTGATCTGGAACCCACATTGGATCTAGACCCCACGTTGGATCGGGACCCTATGTTACTTTTTGATTCCATATTAGTTCTGGAACTAAACTGGGACTTGGAAGCTCTTCCTTTAGCTGCATCCTGTGGCACTGTAAAATAACAACTTCTCTTTAAAATCTGCATTAAAATAAATATAGAGCAATTACACAACACTAAGTAATGTACATACAGAGCAGACTACTTCCTAAATATTGCAAGGGGTGGGGGAGAGACTTCTGAAAGGGAGTGATCTGATCAATATGACCAGAAATACAACGGGTCGGATACAAGTGTATAGACTGCATGGTGACCTCTTTTTGTTGAATGGATTTCCTGTTTCCTAAAGTGGTCTATTTTATTTTATTTTAACCCCACTTTTTCCTCCAATGAGCTCAAGGTGGCATACATGATTCTCCCCCCTCCTCATTTGATCCCCAAAACAACCCTGTGAGGGAGGTCAGGCTGAGAAGCAGTGACTAGTCCCGTGTCACCCAATGAGTTTAATGGCCAAGTGAGTATCTGAACCCTGGTCTCCCAGGTCCTAGTTCCTTAGCTTTTTCTTGGTTAGGATCTTGACTACTGAACTACCGTAATAAAGCTTCTGCTCTAGATATGTATAGTCTTATGCTTTTTCCCTTAAGCCACTTGGTTTTCACCTACCTCGTAGCAAATCGTCACAACTTCCCTGGCATTGGCGGTTAGGCATTGGTATGGGTATTGTTATGTAGATGAAGCACCATCACCTGCCCCACATATTGAAGGGTAGTCCGGTAAAGGATTCCGGGAGGCATGGCCCTATCCGAAGCCTATGGAGGTGAGGGCCTAAGGCACGCCCCTGAGCGGTGACCCCGGGGGAGTTCCTAGTTGATGTGCATCAGCAGGACTCCCGGTCTTCAAGCAAACAGGCTGAAGCCGGATAGTCAATTAGGACCAATGCCTAACCCAATACCAATACGACTCATCACCTGTAACCAATAAAGTTGTGGCCATTTTTAGCCCATTAACCTAAATAATTGTGTCATGTGTCATTATTTCCACTGGGGGGGCAGGAACTCACCACGCAAAATGTTCAATCCTACTGGTTTGGTGGAAGAGCAACCAAATCCAAATTTCTGCTGGCGTCATGATGGCAGGGCAGAAAATGGGACCTGTCTGCTCTTCTCCTCCTCTCCTCCCATAGGCATTTTTTAAAACAACAACAACAACAGCAAACCTCCCATTGATATAGTTGGAGAGCGGGGGCGTTGGAAGAAGGGGAAATTTTTTGGATCAAGAAAATCCAAAGTCTCAGTGATATTTTTATTTTTTTTATTTTTTTAAAAAACTTGTTCTATTCCACCATCCCCTGAGCTAACCCTTTTTATCCCTTTTACTGCAAAGGAAGGACAGCGGCTAAAGTTCCTGCAGATGCAACGAGGAGTTCATGGAAAGGAATGTCCACAAAATCCTATGGCTGTGGGATAACCTGACAAGGACCATAAAATTAGGCACTTGGCTGGGCACTGTGAGAACAGAATGCTGAACTAGATAGGCCTTTGGTTTGATCCAGCAGGGTTCTAATGACCTTCAAAATACTCTGCCAGGTGGTTTGCATCCTGAAAGCAGAAAGGTGGGGCAGGAGTGGTTTCCCCAGCCACTCTGGGCAGCTTCCAACAGAACACTAAAATACAATAGTCTATTAAACATTAAAAGCTTCCCTAAACAGGGCTGCCTTCAGATGTCTTCTAAAAGTCTGGTAGTTGTTTTTCTCTTTGACATCTGGTGGGAGGGCGTTCCACAGGGTGGGTGCCACTATCGAGAAGGCCCTCTGCCTGGATCCCTGTAACCTGGCTTCTCGGAGTGAGGGAACCGCCAGAAGGCCCTCGGCACTGGACCTCGGTGTCCGGGCAGAATGATGGGGGTGGAGATGCTCCTTCAGGTATACTGGACCGAGGCCATTTAGGGCTTTAAAGATCAGCACCAAGACTTTGAATCGTGCTCAGAAACGTACAGTAACCAATACATAACCTTCTGCCCCCCTCCTTGATATCACACTCCCAAGACAAAAGGAAGGAAGGAGGATAGAAGGAAGGAGGAGTCAGAGGGGCAGAAGGGACATATTTGGGCCTCACTCCCAAGAGGAGAGTGTGGGTCCTGTTGTCCTGGGTTCCTCTGAAGAGAAAATACAAACAGAAACAACTTGCCTTCTGCGAATGTCAGACCTCCTGCCATTTTAACTGCTCATTCGGATTGGCTCCTCACGTCATCCTATGTTCAGAACCATATAATGGAGTAGACCGTTAACACAGCTTTTAATTAAAAATGTAGTAGTTAATGAGCAGTTGGAAAAGAAGTGAGCATAAATAAAAGTGGAAAGTGCTTACATTGCTTCATTGATGGGGACTTTTCCTTGGCTGCCATTTTACCTCCTCATTTTAAGTGGTATTTCATCTTGGGTTCCTTCACGTGACAATGTAGTGGAGCGAACTCTTAAAATAGTAAGGAAAAAATAGAATTTAAAGATAATATCACCTTGCCAACAAAGGTCCGTATAGTTAAAGCTATGGTTTTCCCAGTAGAGATGTATGGAAGTGAGAGCTGGACCATAAAGAAGGCTGATTGCTGAAGAACTGATTCTTTTGAATTATGGTGCTGGGGGAGACTCTTGAGAGTCCCATGGACTGCAAGAAGATCAAACCTCTCCATTCTGAAGGAAATCAGCCCTGAGTGCTCACTGGAAGGACAGATCCTGAAGCTGAGACTCCAAGACTTTGGCCACCTCGTGAGAAGAGAAGACTCCCTGGAAAAGACCCTGGTGTTGGGAAAGATGGAGGGCACAAGGAGAAGGGGACGACAGAGGACGAGATGGTGGGACAATGTTCTCGAAGCTACCAGCATGAGTTTGACCAAACTGCAGGAGGAAGTGGAAGACAGGAGTGCCTGGCGTGCTCTGGTCCAGGGGGTCACGAAGAGTCGGACACGACTAAACGACTAAACAACAACAACATCCTGCCCCCCACCCTCAGTATTTAAGCAAAATTTTTACTGCCACCAGGGTACCTCTATGAGATTACATCTCTCCCAGCAGAACAGGAGAACTGGAACTTTGTGAGTGACACCTAAATGACAGACCAGATGCTCTGCAGGATAAGACCCAACAGAGCTGGTAAAGGACTTCTTCTTGCTTGAGATCTAAGGAAGCTGCTGAAATCGTACTAGCTGGCCAAGATACCCAATGAACTGATGCAGTGGGCATAAAGTAGTTTCATATGAATAACATTTATAACATTCACTGTGATACCGTGGGATACCGCTGGGATATTGTTGTGCCTCAGTCAGTTCTTCTTCTCTTTGCCTCTCTGTTTGTTCCCGCAGCTGTTTGTTCCTTCAGCGGCTCAACCACCTAGCCCTTTGATGCAGAACATTCCAGAACTCTTCTTGTTCAGGTTCTGCTTCTCCCTGATTGGGCACGACAAGCAGCCAATCAAGATTCCACACAGAGCATATACCTAGGAAAGCTATCTTATGGAATTATTATTATTATTATTATTATTATTATTATTATTATTATTATAAAAATTCCTTATGAATTGAGGCAGCAGTAGCTGTGTGAGGCAGACACAAAACCAAGGGGGACTGAATAGCAGTTGCAGTCACAGGTTCCTCACTGGCTGCACCAGGGAGAGCAGAGGGGAAATGCCAAGCAATGGCATCTACAGTTGCAGAGAGGAGAGAGGCTGCCTCGGGGAAAGGACTATATCTAGGCTTATTCTAGTTCCAACTGTGATGAGCAAGAACTGCCACAGGCAAGTGGATCCCAAAGTGATCACTCACTGGACCAGCATCAAGGACCAGCATGGCTGGGCAACTGCTGAGGGCTCCATCACCCAGTGGAGGAGGCCACTGACAAAAGCCTCCTTGCCTTGCTCTGGTGACAGAGGGGGCCTGGGGCTGCACGACATCACTGTGACGTTTGCACGTGGCGTTGGCTTACTGACATGTAATGCAGACTCCCTGCAGCGTGGGTGCACGGCAGTGTAGAACCTTTTTGGGGGGTGGCCCCTTCTTTGAAAATTTATGGGTGCCTGGGCCCCCATGGCCCCATATAGAGGACTCCTATGCCTCCTTATCATCACTGTTGAAAACTGCATGCTTGTTCACCTGCTTCTCACTCTGTCTCAGACAACAGTGGTAGTGAGAAGGAATCGCAGCAACGAAAAGGGAAAGCCTACAAAAAGGAGTTGAGGGAAGCAAAAAAGCTGTGGAAATAATGTAATCCCCCATGAGTATCCAGAGAAGGAGGACATATTCTAGTTAAAAGATTGAGTGTGCTATATTGTCAACTGCCCTGTGTGTTGTGGTCTTGCTCCAAATGATCCAGTGGAAGCCTCAATGAAGTGATAGCTGAGTAAAAATGCTTAAACACTGAAGGCAATATAAGCATCTAGTTTGAAATCCATACGTCTGGATTTTTCAGGACATTACAGGGATGTCAACGGTGGAAGTGATGTCCAGGGGGTAAAGCAGCGGTTCCACATACAAATCACCACTCAAATGAGAGAAAAAGCACACAAAAACAAAGTACAGCGATATCTATGGTTGCGAATGGGATCCATTCCGGAGGCCCGTTCGCAACCTGAAAAGAATGAAACCCGCGTCTGCACATGCGTGGGTCGCGATCCACCGCTTCTGCGCACACACGTGATGTCATTTTGCACGTCTGCGCATGCGTGAGTTGTGAAACCCGGAAATAACCCTTTCTGGTACTTCCGGGTTGCTGCGGGATGCAACCTGAAAACACTCAAGCTGAAGCAAACGTAACATGAGGTATGACTGAAGAGAGAAAACAAAGAAAGAAAAAGAGAGAATGAAACCAGGCTCCTTCTGTCCTGTTATCAAAAGACACCATGACCTTGGGAAAAAAATTATAGGATCAGTTCATTCTTCTTTTCTAATATAATTTTTATTGGTTTTTACACATATTTTCCAAACATAACATCCCATCTTATACAACATAACAAACCTTTGGCTATCACAGCACAGCCTGAGAATTCCTTCAACCTCGACTAATGGTTTTCTAACTTTCTTTTGGCTTCCATCCCCAACAACATCCTGAAAGTGTACAGGAAGTCCCAGGAGTCATACTCCTTCGCATTCTTTGTTCTTGAATGTGTAGGGACCTATGAGCCCTTGGAGAAGGAGGATCTCCCAAACTTTCCAGGGAGGTCTCTGCAGTCTGCTCTCTCTCTCCCCCCTCCTCCTCCAATATCTAAAAACTAGGCATTTCTTCCTTCAGCTATAATTCAGCTCTGTTTTCTTTTCCTCTTGAAACTGTTGGAGACAAGGGGGAAAACCTTCCCACTCTCCCTCCTCTTCTGAGAGGAGCCAAACAGACTGAGTGGACACTTCTGAGTCTTCCTGATCAGTTCATTCCCTGACAATGAAGAATTAAAATATCAGTTCTCCTTGGCTGGGTATACAGGACAGATTGAAGCAACCACAACCACTTCCAGCCTTCAATCATGCAAGATGTGGCAGGAGAGGTCCCCGGCTAGATTCCTGGGGTGCTAGTCCTCAACACAGACCAAGCTATTCACACCTTGTAAAGGTCTGATTCAGGACAGCAGAGTCTAATTGGTTACTTAACTCAGTTGATGGCCACTGTACATTTGAGCCAACTTCAAGAGGTGAAGGCCCCCATAAAATATTTTAGGGGGCCGCCTCCCCAAAGTTCATGGGCATTGCCATTCAAATGATGTGTGTGCACTGTCTTGTGATCAATTATGCAGGGGGGAGCTTACCTGCTCCACCCCCAATATTTTATTCAAGTTGGCACCCCTGCTACCATGAATGCCATGAAAGGAGCAGCACATGCTGCCAGTGCTGTGCCCGCACTGGTGTGGACCCCAGTCTTGCCCCCTGCCAAGTTCTGAAGAAATCGAGAGCAATTCACTGTGTTTGTTTCCCAATGTTAGCTCTACATAAGAGTAAGGGCGCCAGAGTTTCCAGTGATGAAGCCAAAGTTGTATTTCTGATTAGTCTGTTACAAGGGGACACCAGGTGCTAGGTGACCCCCATTCTCATTGCCTGGCATGCATGGTTGTCTTCCGACCAATGGGGCCAAAATGGAGCCCAGCAGACTTCCTCTGTGCACGCAGCTCCCTGCCGATCTCGGAAACGTTCTCCTGCCCCCCTGGCCGGTTTAGCAGAGCGATACGCAACGGTGAAAACTGCTGCAGTGTGTGGGTAATAAATCAGGCTTGCACACTGGCTTCTCTTATCTCTAATAGCCTTTATTCCGGTAGCAAAACATCGTAAATTCAGTCTTTAATTCCCGGAGAAAATTCTCCCATCTTTCCTCTCCGGCAGTCGGGAAAGAAGAAACAACACACAGAAACCACTCCCGTCTGTGTAACTAACCACGCCTCAAGATGTGAGACGTCATACCAGAACGTCACCCAGAAATGTTAACCCTGTATGTTCTGGAACCATTAACAGGTTGTCCTTATGTGCCTTGTAAGGTAGTGGCGATGGAGATCAGAAGGGGCAATGGGGCATCAAACACACAGAGTAAGGGAACAAATATTGGTATGCATTGCAAATAAATACATGAAACAGAAAACAGGCTATGACTGGACCCTTCCATTCTTTATTTTTGTAGCCATCTACGTTTGAGCTTGCAGAATAAGGTCTTTTCAAGGTGTTTTTGAGGGCTGATGCCAAAGAATCCCATAATCTAGATGGCAGAGTGTGGATTGTGCATTAAAACAGCAGGGTGGGGTGATCTCTTGGTTTTGGTTTTGTGTAGTGATCATGAGATCCAGTTTTGTTCATCTTGAAAGTGTCTTCTTAGAGCCAAGCATCATTTGGCACCTTCTTGCAAATATACTGTATTGTTTGCTCACAGTTTAATGCTGCCCAGCAACTTCCGCGGCAATTAAAGGCCATTACACCACAGTCGTATTTCGCGGCTCTATTTGGCTCACCCCATTTCCAGAAGCTGAAAAGAAGAGAAATAGCAGCCTTGATGAATCAAGATTGGATGTCTACTTCTTCACCCGCTCCCCTTGCCTTCTATCATTAAAAAGATGTTCAGCTCTTTCTCTCTTAACATCCACTGACAAGTGTGATGGATTTTTCTCCCCATATTTTAGAATTCTAACCATGTAAGGAAAACAACAACAACTATTGGTGTTTCGCAACTTTCTAACTTGTTGCAGGACCTTAGCAGAGTATACGCAGAGTTCACGAAAGCAATCGGTTGCAGGCAGGATGGACGAAGCAGGAATCAGTTACATGTTACTTACAGGTGTTTATTATGTACAGTGGACTTCAGGTTACTATTTACAGGAACAGAGCACAACATGGATCTTTAGCTCTCTCACCACATGACTCTTACACTAACACTCAACTCTCAACGCTCTACTAACACATTCCAGTCAATAGGCCATAAATCATTATTCCCATGAGTGAGCTTGACCAATGAGGGAGCTGTCTCCAGGCCTCTATATCTCCAGGCAGATTTTACTCCTTTACATTGCTTTGGCTGTTGGCCAACTCCTAATTGACTCTGTGTGAAGCTGCACGTATTCAAAATCCCAACAACAACTGTGGGTTAAGACTGTCTCTTTTCTTTTGACATGAAGTGATTTCTCATAGTAACCTACAAAAAACTGAGGGTGTGACTTTGGAAGGCTCAGAGGTACACACAAGAACTTTCAGTCAATTTAGTTTGGGAAATATCCAATGCAGTACTTCTGCTATTGCCAGGATTTCCATTTCTGCAACAGAACTGGCCCTCTCTCCTTTCCATATACACCCACATCCTCCTCAGATCTGCTCTGGACCGTTGTGGGTGTTGGAGAAAGAGTGTTGGAAGAGAGATCCTTACTCTCTCATAGCAGAGTTTGCACAGTAGTGATTGTTCTGAGCATATTAAAACCATGTTAGATTTGCATCCACCTTCATCCACCTCATCTCACATCTATCACCCACCCCATGCATGAGGAGAGCAATGACACTATACAGAAACAAACATAGCTATGTCCTCAAATGAATTGCAAAATATAATCTATAACCACAAAGCCATTATAGGGTTGACTGAAATGATATGATATTTCTCACATATATATCTTATCTAAATCTAACATGATGGTTCTAATTTTACTTTAATCAATTATCCATAGTTGACAAAGGTATCACCCTAGCCTCACTCTTATTGTCACTTGCATTCTCCAGTGTCCATTGTGTACTGAATCAAGTCCCACTACACAGCACTAAAATTCTGTGATAAATGTATTCTATAACTCCCTCATTTTTAGATCTCTGTGAATCTATTAAATTGATATTACTACTAATGGTGTGGTAGGTGTTTTTTTACTCCCATGAGATGTTTGGGTGAAATCTGCCCTTTGATCAAGTCTAAGATCACATACAGTAGTGGTTCCCAATTGGTGGTCCACAGACCACCCACCCAGGGGCTCCATGGTGTCATTCACATAACAAAAACTGCTGCAGAGATATCAAAATGCTCAAAGGTACATTTTTGAAAAACAAGGGGTCTGCAGTACTTAGCTAACTGGGAACCACTGGCATACAGGGTTTAATTTCCCAGCTAGTATTATACAACCCCACGGCCCGTTTGTAAAGTTTACTCAATACCTTTGTCAAAAAGGATTCGTGGTTGGTATTGGGTGCATCAAGAGAGATGAATGTCATTGGATTTTGTTCCAGGAAACCTTACAAAATTGAAAGCAGCCCTCTGTTAATGCAGCCTTGGTAATAAATGCCAGACCAGTTCTCTGTTCTACTACCAAGCTGTGGATGAGTGAGATCTTACTCTGACCTTGTACATCCATCAACACAAGCTGAAAAGAGTTGTTAGATACTTAAAGGGAACCATGAAGTGTCTTAAACTGCCAGCTGACAGTGTTGCTCAGCTTTAGGTTCCCGCAAGTCCTTTTGAAGCTGAACTAATCAGCACAAACCATTTAAAAGAATGCCTTCAGCCTCTTCCGAATCACCACATTCACTAGGTTAGAGAAGCAGGAAGAGGAGCCTTCCTGCCTCTGCAACCTAGTGAGAAGCAGCAGCTGCTCATCTCGGCAATGATGTGGAGGAGTACATATGTAGATCTTTGGTAGTAGAGAATATTGCATGGCAAAATATATTTGGAGAGGGAAAGGATCAATTATGTAAACAGAATCTGCAACTTTTTGGAATGCATGCCATTAGCAAATATTCAAAAACTTACTGGGCTCTAGGTATTGTGCCTGACAGCCATTTCCATTTCGCTTTGTTGTCTTTAAAGAGTCCAATCCAAAAAAGCTTTCTTCTGATTTTTACTTCATTTATCACAAATTGCTAGGGTAGGGGTGGGGAGAAAGAAAAACCAGAAAATTTTCAGTAGGAATGAGGAGCAAGGCAATTCTCTCAAAGCCTTTCTAGACAATGTCCCTTTCTCTGAGCTACTATAGCGCTTTACAAACATTCAACAGGCATAAAACAAACACATTTCAAAAGACACAGGTGTCACCTTTGAAAGCCAAATCCATATTTTTGGAGGAAGCAGTGATCAAAACTATGGTATTCCAAGTATGGTTGCATCAAGCACCAAGAATAATTTTGTACTGAGGGTGTGCTATTGTCCCCCTGATCCAAGTTATGATCCAAGTTTTCCCAAAGAGGAAATATTGTAGTGAAGGGCAACTTCACCTGCCCTCACCGAGACTGGCTACATATGTCCAGTCATGACACAGAGTTAAAATTTCCAGATACTGTAAATTACTGTGCCATAGAACAGTTCATCTTGGAACCACCTAGCAGGACAGTGACCTGTGTCTCAAATACTCCAATTTCTGCATCCATGCCTGATGGTTGGTTCCAGAGACACTGGAATCAGTCTGGTTGTGGTATGCTTGATGGGATGACGATGGGGTTTCACCTATGTCTGTGGCCTGCAGCATCCCAGCAGCCCCTCTGCCTTGGTTAAGGGCTGGGAGATGGATATACCTTCCAAGCTCCTCTAGAGTCATCTCCATGATACCCTCATGCCTGAGGGTTAGGGTGGTGAGGGAAGCCTTTTTTCTAAGCACTCAGTACATCTCAAAGAGCAGAGGAAGAATTTACAGGCAATCCAGGGGATAGATGACTCTCAAGTATCTACTCCTCCTCCTCCTTCAAGATCTCCTTCCTGACTGCCAGCTTCATTCTATTAGAGGCTCAGCAGCACCAAGAAACCTTAGTTAGCCCCAGATGGTAGCAGCTGTTCCCTGCCCCACCCACCCCTTGGCTTGACTGATGGAGTTGCTGTCTTGCCTGCATACAGGTGGATTGTACCTTCTTAAATGGATAGTGATGATAGGAGCCCTTTGACTCAAGGAGATCCCCTACCTTTTCAATACTTGGCTTTGATGCTCACCTGTTCTGCTGCTGTTTCTATAGAAATGAGCTTGGCGCCTTCCTTCTCACACACTTTTTGGGAATTCATCCATGATTGTACCCCATGAGAAAACCAATAGTATGCCGTTGGAAATAAAACCCAACCATCATCCACATTTTTAGAGATGATGTCTTTGAGTCAGCCAGGTATGGAGGAAGAAGAGAAAAAGAAAACAAGATAAGGAATTTAAGGAGAACCACTTTGTATGTCTGTGCAGATTTCAATTACTTTTGTGAAGTTCATTTCTCTGGGCACATGATAACATATATTAATCTAGGAAGTTCAGAAATCTTAAAAAAAAAAGAACAACATTAACTCATCAACCCATGCTGATGCTGATGCTGCAGTAAATACCTGGGTGGGCATAGCTGGAACAGGGAGCGCAGTCAAGAACCTCACCTACTTGTTTCCACCTGGATACTTCGGGCAGCATCAGGGCAGACTTGAAGGATGGAGAGGGGGAGTAGCTGTGGTTTATCCAAATTCTCTTTCTCTCTCTAGGCTAACTGTCCAGTTGCGGAGGTGGGGAGGGCAATCTAGAGTGGGCAACTGGGACAGATGAGGGATTCTGCTGGTTTACCACCTGGTTTGCTGCCCAGCAGTCTCCCTGCCTGAGCTGACAGGATGGTTCCAGTGGGCTTCCAAATGCCTCTGGGGGATTTTCCAGCTCATCTGAAAGTGGGTGGTGCTCCTGCCAAGTTTTGGCCAAACTGTGGAACAACTGGATAAAGATGATGATGACGACGACGACCATGATACTTTATAATATGCTGCCCATCTAACTGGGTTTTCCTCAGCTACTCTGGGTGAATTCCAACAAAATAAAACACAACTAGAGTCCAACCATTAAAAACTTCCCTGAACAGATGTCTTCTGATAGTCAGATAGTTGTTTTTTTCCTTGACATCTTGGCTGAATGACTGAAAGTTATTTTGAGGATAAAATTGACCCTTCATGACCCTTCTGTTACAGCAGATAAATCTTAAAGGGTGTCCAGAGCAGAGGCAGTGGTAAAATCACTCTTTAAGAAACCCAGCCTGATGAGCAGAATATAAATAAATTGTTGTTGTTGTTCCCTGGGCTCAGAAAAATCTAAGTAACAGTCCATCAGTTGCTAATCTCACCTTCCTGGGCAAGGTTCTTGAGTGGGTGGTCGTGGACCAGATCCAGGTGCTCTTGGAGGAAACTGATTTTCTAGATCCATTTCAATCAGGGTTTAGGTCTGGTTTTGGCATAATTTCTTTAAAGGCAATCATATTTCCCAAGGTCAAAGAAAAAGAGGGGAAATAGCATTATACAACTTCCACAAAATGTGTGTTTTTGTGCTGACCATCCTTCGTTTGTTTTTATGCAAAAGTGATGCAATTTGCATTCGTTCCCCGTCTTTGCTTTCGCATCTAAAGCTTTATAAACAATTTTATAATCACTTTAGCTAATATCTATTCAGTGCTTTGTGTTTGCCTGCCTTGAGTCTGAACTAAGGATTCTGAACCCTGGGATTCTGACTCAATACATGCTATCCAGTCGCACCATTCCTTTCTTCCACATAAGGCTGCAATCGTGGAGGACCTGCCCTGGCTTTTGGACAAGAAATCTCCTTGGATCTGGGGCCATGCTCAGAATGCTGCTTTCAATGCTGTCAAACAGCTGCTCTCCCCTGAATGAGTCCTTACCCATTTTGATGAGACCAAGCTTGTTGTGCTTGCCTGTCACACCTCCCCATATGGAACTGGCGCAGTCCTCAGCCACCAGTAGCCAGATGGGTGAGAGGCCCCCAATGAATTCTACTGCAGAACTTTGTCATCTACGGAATGCAATTATGTCCAGATTGACAAGGAGGCCCTTGCTATCGTAGCAGAAGTAAAGAAGTTCCATGACTACACCTATGGCCACCACTTCATTATTATAATTGACAACATGCCTCTGCTGGGCCTTTTTGCTGCTGATTAGAAGATGCCCCAGGTCCTGTCCCTGAGGATGCTAAGGTGGTCCATCTTTCTCAGGGCATATGACTACATGCTGCACAAGGTTCCTGGCAAGAGCCTGGGCCACGCAGATGCCCTAAGCTACCTGCCATTACCAGACATAGACATTGACCCGTCCCCAGCCCACAGTGTGATGCTGCTGGAGACTCTTCCCCAGCTGCCGCTCCATGCCATGGATGTCACCATACACTCATGTGTCCATCTCCTGTGTCCTCAACTGGATGTGGAGGGGGTGCCCAGCAGATCACCTTGATGCAGAATTCTCTCCATTTGTCTCCCAGCAGCATGAGCTGTCAGTTCACAAGGGATGCCTTCTGTGGGGAAACTGGGTCATGATCCCTGCTAAGCTGTGGACCAGAGTGCTGGAGGCTCTCCATGTCAGTCACCCAGGCATTGTCCATATGGAAGCTCTGGCCAGTAGCTACATCTGGTGGCCAGGCAGTAATGCAGCAGTAGAAGATTGGCCACTGCCAGGCCTGAGAGTCCTGACCACCCATGCCTCAGGCCCCAATCCAAAGTTAGGAGATGACATGCACACCATGGTCAAGACTCCACATCAATTTTGCTGGTCCATGCCAAGGTCAGACATTCTTGATCATTGTGGACTCCTTGTCAAAGTGGCTCGAGGTGGTGCCCATCTCAGCAATGACCTCCAGGATCGTCATCTGGGCCCTGCTGTGGGTCTTTCTTCACCCTACACGGCCTGCCAGACACCATCATGTCAGATCATGGAGTACAGTTCATGTCAGCCGAGTTCCAGAAGTTCATGGTCAACAAGCTAATCCTCCATGTCACAGCAGCACCGTTCCACCCATCAACGAATGGACAGGCTTAGAGAATGGTGAGGACCACCAAGGAATCCCTCACCCGGATTGCCCAGGGGGACTGGAACAAGAGCCTAGTTGATTTCCTGCTGCAGCAGCACCTCAAACCCTGCATTGCCACAGGTTGAAGCCCAGCAGAGCTCCTTATAAACCAGAAGCTGGCATCACTCCTGGATTGGCTGCACCCAAATCTTGCATCTGATCGGCCTCCTGGCCAAGGGGCTCCAGCAGCCCCCAGGTCCTTCACACCTGATGACCCTGTCTACATCCCAAACTACGGAGATCACCCTGCGTTTATCTCCACTGCTGTTACCGGGGCGACAAGCTTGCCACACCAGATGTTCAGGTCCACTGCCGGCATGTGGACTAAATACGTTGATGCCTGTCTATTGATCAATACGTTGATCCCCAGCGCCAGCCACTGCTACCATGCCAGAACACCAGGTGAACGATCAGCTTGACTCACAGGCTGATGAGAACCTGCGGCCCAGGGTAGAGCTGAGGAATGGGGCCCCAACACTGCAACACCAAACAGTGTGGAGGCAATGACACCAGTGTCACCCATGACACCAGCTCCAGCTCCATCAGGATCCCCAACAACCCAGGGGATGAGCTTCACCCATCTCAGTGGGTGAGGCACTGCCCACACCACTTTGATGAATATTTGTGTTGACAGGGATGAGTGTTCATGCCTAAGGGAGAAGGGTGTTATGTATTCACTGGTCTGTGTTTTCCTGAGCTTGAGTCCGGACTAAGGATTCTGAGCAGCTGTGTTCTGATTTGATACACGATATCCAATCATAGAATATTTCAGAAATCATTCCCCTTCTCTGCTTTTTCATAAAAAGCTTTATAAACATCATTATAATCTCTTTACCTATAAGGCAAGTGTTCCCAGTGAAGGAAAGCCCACCTTAGAGACCTGTGCAGATAAATGGAGGATCCTATCCTGACCTAGGTTTGGCCGTCTGGGTACTTGCCGTGGCACCAAAACAGGCCTGTGGGTAGAGTGAGAGTTGCTATGGTCTGCAGGTATTTTATCCCACATGCCAATGAGCCAATTCACTATGTGAGTAGGCTTGAGGGCTTCTTTCTGATGATGGGCTTGTGAAACAAGAGAGATTTTGTTGTTGCACCAATCACCCCACTGCCCAGCAGTCTCTCTGACCAAGTTGTCAGAGGTTGCCTCAGATGTGCTGCTCAAGAATCTCTCTTCCATGGATGAATATAGTAAGGACAGGTCTTTTAGCTGACCTGAAAAGGAGGACAGCTCTCTGCTCTGGCTCTAAGAGTTTTCAGCTAGAGGAGGGGCTTTCAGCTGGGGCAGAATCAGGGCAGGATCCCACTGCACTACAATTCTTCAGCATCGTAGGGTAGCTTACCAATTTCCTTTTGCAGTTTATCATTTTTGATGGCAAGATGCCGCACTTCCTCTGATAAGTTTTGAACTACAGCGAGTATTTGGAAGTCTAAAAGATTTGAAACAGTTTAAGGCAGGAGTATCTGAAATAACAATCTGCAAATATTAAGAAAGCATTTCTAAACATTTTAAAACACTTTAGCCTGAAACAAGAAGCAGAGCTCCAGGATGGGGTTCTTATGAATATGAGGGCAGACTTGATTCTCTTTGGCTGAGATCACCAATGGAAAGCCTCAGAAGAATCCTGCAGCTGGATCAGACCAAAGACCCATGCAATCCACTATCCTATTCTCATATTGAAAGTGGCTCATGAAGTATCTCTAATGTTCCCTTCCTATGTCCTCCTTTTCTGCTGGGAATCACAGGGTCACAAAACAATTCCCCACTGAGTCACACAGTAAAGCCAAATATGCAAAGATTACAATACAGTTTTCTATTATGCTTTCTGAAATCTAAGAAAATACAGGCACCCAAACTCTTTTCCTGATGAATATTGGGTTGCATTCCACATAGTTCTAAAGATGGCGTTCTGTAAGCTCAGGAATTTCTCCTTGTGCAATGCAATCTTCCGCCCCTTTCCCTCCATTCTGTTTTGAAGTTTCTCCCCACCCTGCAGAGCAGCTTTGGTGATGGCATGCAGGGAGAAGTGCGGGCAAAGTTCCCTTGTGCCAGTGCTAAAATCTAGCACTAGCACAAGCATTGTGAATTACAGTGTGATGGGGAAGGACAGCATTTCTAGTGGGGAGATGTGAGAATCACAACCACCTGCTTTTCTTTATGCTGAGCAGTGAAAAAGTGATAAACTCTGTTGGGTGATGAGTTTCACTGAATGTTTTGCTCACACAATATGAATCCCAAAGGGAACTACTGGAATTGAAGTCCATTTAAATTAAACATGTTCTAGCAAAAGTGAGGATTTGTATATAAAATGCTTACCATCCTTGTCCTTATAGGTTGAATCAATCCCAACAACAAAGGTTCGAATCATTCCCAATCCCACTTGAAAATCAGCTCTTTTTTTCAATTCCTTCTGATCTAAGGAGGAGGTAGGTAGAAAAGAAATGAAGAAATTCTGTTCTAGCTTACTAGTCTGGTGACCTGGGGGAGGGGGATACTTGGTTTCAAACTGCTTTTAACATTGAATTTTAAATGCTGACTTGTAACGTGCCCTGGGAGCTTAGGGAGAAGAGTGAATAAAAAATCAAATCAACAAAAACATGAATATGACTTCTATTTTCTGCTCCCAGCCCTTATATTGATGTTTCCTGTCCCTTGATTGTGGCTGCCCTGGTGCTCTGAAGTCCTGTTTCCATTTGGCCTGTTGCTTCTGTCCTCAGATGGTTGGCCTTCCTTTGAAAGCTTTAGATTTTTTGGTGTCTAGATACACCTGTCCTCTTTGTCCTAGAGACTTGCATTTGCCAAGCTGCCTCATGCCCTGCCGTATGCTCAAAATATGTTAAGTCTTGGATCATTTGGTTCCCTCCCCCTGAGCTTTGCTTACTTTGGAGTGCCATTTAAAAATGAACTAGGTTTACAAATAGGTCATGTGTTCATTTAGCCAGTGCTATTTTTCTGGAGAAAGAGGTGCCAAACTCACCTTGAATATCTCCCTTGTTCTCTTAGATTAGCAACAGAGCCCACCTGAGAGGGGCTGGAACTGAGTCCTGATGAATTTCGGCTGAAAAAGGCCCTGCATATATCTTGATATTTAGGTAGGCTCTGGACCCACCCACTTTATCCTCTGCAGCCTGTTTTCCCCAAGCACTTTCCTTCAGGGGACTGGAGCCCTAGCAGAGGGCAGGGTGGCGAGGACCAGGAATGGGGACTCTCGCACAGCAAATAAGGATTAGTTGGGAAAGGAGCAGAGAATGACAACTGGGAAAGGGAATTGCCCAGGGTGTCCCAGGGACTTGTGTCAGCCTGTGCTTCTGTTCCAAGAACTGGAACTCACTTATTCAGGGAGAACAAAACAGTGTCATTGCTCTCACTGGGTGACAGATGTAACTCAACCCCTGATATCAAAGAGAGATGAAAGGGGTAAATGGAAGGTGGATCCTACCATCTCTTTTTGGAAATGCTATTGGCATTTAAGCAAAGCACATGACATTAGTTGCAAAGTATGCTAATTATGTACTTACATAGAAGGAAAAGCAGCAGTGTCATGGCAATAAGGATGAACATCTCAAGTATGATAAATCTTTCACCCGTTGGAGATTTTAAGAAGGTAACCATGTCCTGAAAAGTAGATGCTTGAAGAAAGAAAATTCTGATTTAGCCATCAGTAGCCAACAGTGTCCTCGAAGCTACCAACATGAGTTTGACCAAATTGCGGGAGGCAGTGGGAGACAGGAGTGCCTGGCGTGCTCTGGTCCAGGGGGTCACGAAGAGTCAGACACAACTCAACGACTAAATAGCAACAAGCCAACATACCATTGCCACTCCAAGAAAAAGGGTTTCCGTATGCCGTGGCAGCCATCAGCCAGAGATGGTCAACTGTTCAAGGGGTGGTTATCTGGGTGGTTGAGCAGGTGGAGGAAGCAAGGGGGGATACCTTGCTGCTTGAGGAAGCTTTTCTGACCAATGTCTGGATCAGAAGACAGTAGCCTTTGATATTAAAGGACTTTCTGCTCCCCAAACAAATGACAAGATGCTCCCTCTGAACACATAATGCCACATACAGAAGCTGGGCTGAACTGGCCATTGGCTGATATTTCGATGCTGCGGATGGGGCAGCAGACTAACTGAGGAGGTGCAGTGCAGCTTGTGTGGTCTACCCATCTCTACCCACCCCAGCACCTGCTACCTGAGGCAACTGCCTCATTCTGCCTAATGTTGGAGACATTCCTAGCTGCACACAGTAAAGGATCACCACAGCCAGCAGCAAAGAGTGGGCTGAATCCTGGGGTTTCTGTGGGGCTTCATGGATCTCTGGCACCCAAAGAGCTGTGTGGGCTTTTCTCTGCACTCCTCCCTGGCACAACATGACTGGTTCCACTCTCTGCCTGTATCTCCATCAACTTCCCTTTCCCATGCATTCCTCTACTTTATGAGAAACCTCATCCCATATGACTGTGCTGTATACAGACCACGAGTTTCTTTTGCTGCTGCTGAATCCTTTCCGGATGCTCCATCAGTTCCGCACTTTTTCATCCTCTCAGTTGCATCTGTGAAACAACAAGCTATTATAACGACGATGAACACATTGGTTGGATGGTGGGTGTTTTCCCTTCCAAGCTCAGAGTATTAGTCTCTTGTCAAGCTCTTGCTTTTATTCTCCTGCACTTAATCTCCCTATTACAGGAACATAATATTTAAAATAGATGCACATCTACAAATGTCAAGGATTTCATCGGTACAAAGTTGAAATGGACAACAACATCAGGCCAAAAATATGTCTCAATGAGACATTTCCAACATTTAACTTTGGCGTCTATCAGTATTAGATAATCATTTCCTGTAAAGACAATTGTTGAGTCCAATATCACTGAAATGTCTTTCTTTTTCTTTTGCTGGATCAATCTCCATCTTATACCAAAAAGATGTTCCATATGGATTCAAAGGTATTGAAAAATGTTTTAGATAATATAGCATTCTCTCTCTCTCCACATTTTTATTAGTTTTTTTAAACATGTCATTTCCAACAATCATTTAGCATAAATTCTTATCTTATACAAAGTTTTAGACTTCCATCAACAACCTCTGATGATTTCCCGTTCTTTATCACTTGTTCTGCATTTCTTAATTTCTCTATTACTCTTAATTATCATTAACTCATAAGTCTTTTCATAGTTTTTCTTGCAATATTTCAAATAATCCTCCTCACAGAACTTCTTGCAGTCCTACAAGCATAATCTGTTCATTACAATTGCTTTTCAAATAATTCATATATTTACTGATAATATAGCATTCTCATTTGCATTTTATTCTTCTCTAAGCTCCTCGATATCTAGTTTATAGGACTTCAGTAAGCATTTGCAAACAACAGGTATGAACTGACGTTAAGAGGAGCAGCCAATTAAATTACAGTAATTTTTCCTTTCTTCAGCTGTGGACATCAGTAATATTGTATTGTCCTTTACTTATTGCCTAATTTTTAATAAGTTACCGTGTATATATTCCCGAACTGTTCCCTCATCCCCTAGTTGTCTAGGGAGATCATCTGTTAGGGCAACCAGAGCTGTCTCGGTCCTGAAACCAGGACGGAACCCAGACTGAAATGGATCTAAAGCCGATGTTTCCTCCAGAAACCTACCAAGCTGTTCAGCAACCGCTCTCTCAATTACCTTACCCAGACATGGAAGATTTGAAACTGGGCAGTAATTGGATAGATCTAAAGGATCTAATGAAGTTTTCTTTAAGAGCGGATGTGCCAGTGTGGTGTAGTGGTTAAGAGCAGTAGTCTTGTAATCTGGGGAACCGGGTTCGCGTCTCTGTTCCTCCACATGCAGCTGCTGGGTGACCTTGGGCTAGTCACACTTTGAAGTCTCTCAGCCCCACTCACCTCACAGAGTGTTTGTTGTGGGGGAGGAAGGGAAAGGAGAATGTTAGCCGCTTTGAGACTCCTGAAGGGGAGTGAAAGGCGGGATATCAAATCCAAACTCCTCCTCCTCCTCCTCTTCTTCTTCTTCTTCTTCCACTGCTTCCTTCAGCTCCCCTGGGAATGTCCCCATGCCAAGGGACAAATTGATCATTTCAACCAGGGGGATCCAGGCGACACCTGGGCATGCCCTAATCTGCCAATGATACACTGGGTGAAAGATTTTGGGTATAATATACAACTTGCAGCATGGGAGAACTTAGGGAATTGGAATTTAAAATTCACAGCATGTTGCACACTGAAAGGAAATTATATGAAAATGATATATTGTTGGTATTTAACTCCCAGTCAATTAGCAAAAATGTATAAAACAGGGTCAAATATATGTTGGAAATATAAGGAAAAAGAAGGCAAAAGGAAAAAGAATTTTGGGAAATGATATTTAATAAATTGGGAAAAAAGTTTAATTCCCCCCCCCCAAAAAAAACCCCTCAAATACTTTCTGTTAGGAATTCTAGGCGCCGAAATCCTAAAGGAGCAGAAAAGACAATGTACATGACCATGGCTGCGAGGATGTTATTGGCCCAGAGATGGAAATAAGATGAAGTCCCTGCCAGAGAAGAATGGCAGATAAAGTTGGTGGATTATGCCAAAATGGCAAAAATGAATCAGAAATCAGGAAAATTTTAAGGAATGGGGAAAGTTTATAATCTATTTTTAAAACCACTGTAAACAGCTAAAATTCTTAGTGTGGTTGGAATACCACTTGTAGTTTAATGGTGCAAAATATGAGCAGGCCAGGGCTGAACTGATACTACCCTTGCTGGTACCTTTCCCAGGAAAATCAGAAGCTCACTATGTCAGGTTCCTACTGGAAGACTGGACAAAAGCTAGAACGTTAGCAGTGGCAAAGTTTTTATCAGTGGTTGCAAGAACAAATGAGCCTATATTCTAAACAAATGCTTGATTAACCTGGAGGTAGGCTGTATGAACTGTATATTGATTTGTAATGATTTGTTGGGTCTCTGGACCGTAATAAAGATTGTTGTTGTTGTTGTTATATTGTACGTTGATATTTGATTGTAAGATTTTAATTTGAAAAACGAAATAAATAAATAATAATAATAAAAAGACTTTAGAGACCACAAGTTGGACATGGAAAAGAAGCAGACAGAACCTGTGCATTTCCCATGCATCCCTCTACTTTATGAGAAACCTCATCCCATATGACTGTGCTGTATACAGACCATCAGTTATAGTTGCCGATTGTGCTGCAGGATTTGCGGGCGCTGGCTGCTCCATCCTCTCCGTTGTATTTAGGAAACAACAAGCTAGAATAAGACAACAACAAATGGAGAATAAGATTATGAGCACATTAGGTAACCTTACAGTGACTGAACTGCACAGATAAAGAATGCAAATGAAGGCTCACACCCACATGTGTCGACTCCCAGTTAAAAAACCCTAGTCTTACACAAGGAAAAATACGGCATATAAGGGCCAGAAGCTGAAGGAGACAGGGAGATCTTGATACATTGTTCTATGCTCCATTCCAGAATGTGAAGAGAACGACCACCTGCAGTCTGAAGTATCCCAGATAAGCCTTCCAGATCTCCATCGGCTGGAGAGACATGAAGAACTAAACCTATTCTATCTGTTTTGTTGTTGTTGTTGCCTGAGATATTTTGCTTATTGGTTATATTGCTAGCTTTGTAGTTTATTCCAATTGCTGTTGGCTTTATATTAGACTGCATTCCAGGTTGCTGATCAATTTCTTTCCTGATGTTTACCAATTAATAAGAGTTTGTCTCTACCTAAGAGTCTGTCTGTCCAGTGAAATCCAAAGAACCTGTTGCTTGCCTTGTGGTTGCTATTGGCCAAACAGCCAGTAGGGGACGCTGGCAAGACAGCACCTGTGCACATCCTTATAATGTTCCACCACTCAGTTTCATTGGATGACCCTGAGGTCTAGTATTTGAAAAAGAAAAACCATTTGTAGTTTATAAAAGCTCCCTTTCATTTTCCCTCTTGGTGACCTTTGGCCCTGGAATGAGTCCCTGCAAATATCACAGCTTGTAAGGAAAGTGTTACACCCCTCAGACCTCTTTCTGTTTGGATACCTTGGTGTTGTCATGGAACAATCTTTTCCCTAATTTCCTCCTAAGGGTTTTTCATCCTTCCACTGGCTAAGAACCACCTCCCTTGTGATGTCAGGCATTCCAGAACTCCTCCCATTTAGGCTATACCATTTCCTGATTGGCTGCTCATCACATCCAATCAGCATTCCACATAAAGCATAAGCCTAGGGAAATGTTGGTTTCAGATTTGATATACTATTCCCCCCCCCCAAAAAAAGTTATTAGTTTTATTTTTTATTTAGGCTGGGTACATACTTTACCTTCAAAGCATATCCCCCAGAAGAATCCTTACTCCTCATAAACTCTGCTAGTAATATTGGAAAGCTGCCTTTCCTTATTGGGTCGAATTGCTGTTATAAAGATGAATGTATTGCCAAGAATGTTATTTTTGTTTCAATCATTACAAATTTTGGACAAAGTGGACTGTTTCAAGAAGTGGCAGAGAGACATTTCTAGATTTGTCTGGCAGGGCAAGAAGCCCAGAATAAAATTTAAAATACTAACTGATGCAAAGGAAAGAGGTGGATTTGCCCTGCCAGACCTTAAACTTTATTATGAATCAGCAGCATTCTGCTGGTTGAAAGAATGGCTGCTTCTTGAGAACACAGACATTTTGGATCTGAAAGGTTTCAATAATGTTTTTGGGTGGCATGCATATTTGTGGTACGACAAGGTTAAAGCGCATAAAGCATTTAAAAACCATATTGTCAGGAAAGCATTGTTCAATGTCTGGATAAGATACAAAGAATTACTTGAAAATAAAACCCCAAGGTGGTTGTCACTGATGGAAGCAAAGGCTCAGAAAAAGCCCAATATGGAGGCCAAGTGGCCTAAATATTGGGAAATTTTGGAGCAAGAAGGAGACAAATTGAAATTGCAGAGTTTTGAGAAATTAAAAAATAAAGTGCGAGACTGGCTTCACTATTATCAATCAAGAGAGGCTTATAATTTGGACAAAAAAATTGGCTTCCAGGTGGAAAAATCAAAGTTGGAAACAGAATTGTTAGATCCCAAAACAAAGATACTTTCAAGAATGTATAACTTGCTGTTAAAATGGAACACTCAGGACGAGACGGTTAAATCTGCTATGATTAAATGGGCACAGGATGTTGGACATAACATTATGTTTGCTGACTGGGAACAGTTGTGGACCACAGGTATGAAATTTACGGCATGTAATGCCCTAAGAGAGAATATTATGAAAATGATTTACAGGTGGTACATGACACCAGTCAAGCTTGCAAAAATCTATCATTTGCCCGATAATGTTGGAAATGCAAAGAAACTGAAGGTACATTCTTTCACCTTTGGTGGACATGCCCAAAGATTAAGGCTTTCTGGGAGATGATCTATAATGAAATGAAAAAGGTATTTAAATATACCTTCCTGAAGAAACCAGAGGCCTTTCTTTTGGGCATAGTCGGCCAATTGGTGCCAAAGAAGGATAGAACTTTTTTTATGTATGCAACAACAGCAGCAAGAATACTTATTGCAAAGTATTGGAAGACACAAGATCTACCCACCCTGGAAGAGTGGCAGATGAAGGTGATGAACTATATGGAATTGGCGGAAATGACTGGCAGAATCCGAGACCAGGGAGAAGAGTTGGTGATTTTTAAAAGTCTTTTTTCCTGTGCTCTATTTTTTCAGAGCTTTTGTGGCCTGTAAGCCATGTTGCAAATTTCAGTTCATCTGCTAGTGTCTGTAGGAAGAACAATGTGTTCCTTCTCACTGGCAAAGTTTCAAAAATCCTGTTATGCTGCGGCTCCTTCTTCAGAGTAAAATAGCACCTTAAAAAGAAAACTTTTGACAAAGTTTACAGAAAGCATTCACTTGATTTTAAGAAAGTCACTTTCCAGGTTAGTACTTGGGGCAGGGGGGTGGGTAACCTTTGACCTTCTGGGTTTATGTCGCTTGACTGTAAATCCTAATTGGCTCCAGGCAGTAGCAGGTCAGAGTAGCTGGTTGGCGAGAATGCAGCAGTGTCCTTCTGATATCAGCCAAGAGATAAACATGCCTCACACCCCATTTTTTCCCCCTGAAGCTATTGCGAGTGCCTGGCACAAGTAAAAAAAAAGCTGATGTCCTGTTACTTGCATGAATTGACAAATAGTCTGTTCACTTGCCTTTGCTGCAACAGTCTTTTTGCTTGGGGGTTGTGGAGGGGCAGCGGGCAGGGAGGGAATCTCATTTGGATCCTTAGCCTGGGCACGGGGGCGGAGAAGCAGCCCTCGGAGCCCTATTTGTTCCCAGATCTGGTAGCCTTGGTGCAGTTGCTGCATAGGGTGGAGGGGGGCTAATTATTCCTCCCTCCTCTGCAGTTTGGCTTGGGTAAACACAGTTCTACTTTTCCGAAGCCATGGGGATGGTCAGGCAACTTCACATAAGTGTTGGAATCTATTTTTCTTCAGTTTTTAAATCCCCACTCCTCTATTTTCGTGGCGTCTTTCCAATTTTTCCCAGGAAGCACTGTAATGGGGTCGTGGGAGTTGTTTTACTGCTTTTATTCCCCTTGACCCTGGGACCCTCCATCCTCCTAGCGTTATTTCTCACTCAGTCACCTATCTTTGAGTCTTATTAGTGGCCTGTACGGACTTGCCAAAGACCACACACCACTTCGCCGGTGGCGCTGTGCCCCCAACGTCTCACGCACTCAAAACATTCACTAGAGTGTCCCCACACGCACATTCAGAAACCCATGCACCTCCCCCAATCCCCCTTTTACCAAAAACCAACCGGCAGCACTTCACGGCTTTGACTGGGGCCCAGCAGCACCTTTACTGCTCCTACTGGGCGGAACCAAAACCAGTGGCACCTTTATTGCCCTACTGGTGGGGGCTGATCAAACCCCTCTGCTCCCACAAATGCCCTGTGGGGCTTTACCTTTTTCCTCGAGGTACCTTCCTTTGGCCGTTGCTGTTTCTCCGGTCCTTGCAGTGTCTCCACTGAGGAACGGGTGGCAATTCCTCCCACGAACTTGGCAGGATGTGCACTGGAACCGCTGACACCGAATCCGAGCTGTTCACCACAGGGACGCCTTGGACCCACATCCCTTGTCCTCGGGGAATGCTGTTTTCCCGGCCAATGCACCAAGAAATGAATTTTAGAAACAGTCTAACACACACACACAGAGGGAGGAGATTGTGAGGGGGTTCTCTCTCACCTGCCACACCCCACAGGTTCTCCCCATGGGACAGCCTTGGCTGCTGCTCCTGCAGAGGCAGCTGGTGGCGCCCCTCTGCACCACAGGCAGCCATCCTCTCAGCCACAAAAATGACTCACCCACCGGAGCGCCCCTTGCAATCATGCATGCCTCCATGCCGCCTATCGTCTGCCCGATTAGGACAAGCAGCTGCATGTCGCTCACAATTGACGCAGCAGCAGCCAATACACAGTGGACAATCACTGCTGATACTATCCTGCTTGTGGTAACACCTGTCCCAGCGAGGCACACCCCATGTATAAGATGACCCCTCCCCATTTTAGACTTAATATTGAGGTAAAAAAAGGTTGTCTAAATAATACATGGAAAAATACAGTATTTATTATTTCATAACAGGTAGATCGTTAAGAGCTGAGGTGGTTTCAGTGGCGGGCGCCTGGCGCCCCCCATAATTCGGCACCCGGGTGCACCACACCGCTTTCACGCCCGAGTAAAGATGGCCCTGGCTATAACAGGGTCATGATTTTGGACATTAAAGTAGCTAAAGAAAGGGGTCTATATTTCTTGGAAGGTGTCTCTTTGTCTTATGCCTTCTGTGTTTCATGAGACACTCAGGTATTGCTCTATCCCAGATATTATTTCCCCATACTCCAGGGGTATTTAAGTCTGGTTCTTCCATTGTTGAGCTACTGTGTTGCTGTCAGTAAAAAGCCTACTAGTTCTCTGTGGTACAGAAAGGTTGCCATATTTTGAAGAGCAAAAAGAGAACACATTTGCTGACAAGTTAGGAAATTGTTCTAATCCTGGATGTTTGAGGGATGTTTCAAGTCCCATTAAACTCAGTGGAATTTACTTGTGAGTAAACGTATGAGCAGGTAAGAACTACATTACACTTGTATATGATTTGATGAAAAACTTTTTGTAGATTCACAGATCAATCCGACACATATCTATTCCATGTAAGGCATATTGAATTTAATGAGACTTGCTCCTGAGGCTGCAGTCTAAGGCACTCTGTTATTTAAAAGTACCTCAAGGCTGAATCGTGGTTCTGAAAAGAAACGAAACCTGGAACCTACTTAAAAGTACCTGTTCATCCATAAAACTTGCTGGTTCACCTTTCAGCAGTCCCTCAGACTTGCCTTCTTCACTGAGTGCTAGTAAGGTTAACCTGACCCTATTCATTAGAACTGGGCAGGAGAGAAACCCAAATTCACTGAAATAAAACTAGCATGATGGTGGGAGTGTGTTTGTGTGTGCGCGCACATGGAATAAGAGGCACATGCTCCTTGCCACGATGCCTTCGATCCTATGCAGGTTTCTTTATTTTAAATAATATTTATTGACAGTTTAAAGATTACAGAAAAAAAAGAAAACAACAAAAAGATTCAATAAAACACACACTACATTACATAAAAAAGAAAAAAAGGTACATAAAAACCATTACAACAATACAACAACAACAAAAAAACACAGATCCCATATTCCATATCTTTATCTTTCATTTGCTTGTTTCATTGACCTCCTCACACCTCCCTTTTTGTGTTCTAGTTTAATTAATTGTTTCAGCAAATTCTTTCCATCTTTCTCAATTTTTGTTGAGTAATTTATCTTAACAGTCTAACCTATTAATTAACTCAGCAAATCCTTACCATCTTTCACTATATTCTGTTATTCAATTTGCCTTAATTTATTTTAACCTTATCTTACCATAAAATACCTTAAAACTTAAAACTTAATACTTATTTATACATAACTCCTTATATCATTTCTACTAAAGCTAGATAGTTTCATTCCAACATTTCCCCTAATATTCATTAATTTTACACTAATTCCCAATATAAAATGTTTTCTTTATAAGCTTTCTTCCAATCTTCATCCAATGTCTCTTCTTCCTGGTCTCGGGTTATGTCAGTCCTTATTGTCCATTCCAGCTAGTCCATCAACCTGGTAATCTTATGTCCTAGGCTCTTAAGTCTTTTCCATGTCCCTTCTGCAGATCTTCTTCTTCTTGTTTATACCTGCACTTTTCCTTGTCTTTTGTTGATCTCTTTCTTAATTTCTTTCCTTTCTCATTGAGGAGTAGGTCTCAGGGAGATTCCAACCCAAAATTATCTCCATCTCCCCTCATCAGACCAGCCCATTCCCCACATTCCCACTCCCCACAGTCAGCAATATAATCCAGAAAATATTTAAAAGCATGTTTCAAAGTCCCTCCGAGATTAAGAGCCCCCACAGCTCCAGACTCCCCCTGGCCCACTCCAAATTCAATCTTCAAAAACAGCGGCTTATGCTCCTGCAGGGCCTCAGGTCTCTCCATTTGTATTACTTGAGGTGCAACAGCAACCTCCTCCACTATCTTCTGCACTTGCACTTGCCCTGTCAAAGCAGGTTCCTGAGTTGGTCCCTGAATGGTTTCTGTATAAGTATTCACTGTTTGTCCGAAGTTACTGACTACAACAGTCATCAGATCCATCTTCTCAGTCATCAAATCCATCTTCTCATGCATCTGCTCCAACAAAGCGCTTGTCTTGCAAAAAGCAAGCACCAAAACTTCCTCCAAACACATTTTTATTCAGGGTCAAGAGACTGGTCCCACGATCTTAATCTCCCAGCTGTAAAATCCCCAAGTAAACTGCAGCAACAATTTAACAAGCTCCCTCTAGAGGAGACAATTTCTATTTGTATCCATCTTTTTAAAGCAAGTCCAACAAAGGAAAGTTACTTTCATTTTTCAAATATTTTGTTTCTTTTGAATGCAAAAGGCAACACTGGAATCAGTTTGTTTCTCTTTTTTAGCTATCTGTCAAAAATGTTCCATTCACAGTCAATGAACATCCCCAAAAATTTCTGTCTCTGACACCCTGTTCCCAGGTTTGAGACGGTGGAAACTTATCTTTCTTTACTCTCTCTCCTGCAGGCTTGAACAGTCAAAGCCCCCCCCCCTTTTCTCCTGCTTCCAAGGGGTTTTTGGTGGTTATAAATGAAGGAAATTTAGACCTTTATAAACGACTTTCCAGACTTTAGCTTGCAAGGTTTTTGCTTCAGTCTATTTACAAAAGCGGAAGGCGGACTTCCTGTTTTGAACCTTCCCGCTTCGGTGCCAAATTAAGATGTTTCTTAATCCAATTTTCCATTTCTACTTACGGGTACTTGTTTAGAGTCCAATTGTCCACAGGAAAAAGTCAGCGCTCTCCGGCAACGGCTGTGCGGCTTCACTCCGCAAAAGTAGCGGTCGATTCAAAACACCGCGCCGCTCACCCCACGTCGCTTTGGACCCCCATAAAAGGGTTTCCCTGCGAGTGGGGGGGCGCTCCTGGTGTCAGCTGAATCCCACGTTCCCAGGCTTCATCCGCCTGGGATTTTTGAAGGGTCTCCGCCTTCGCCGTGGCGGCAAGACCCGATTTTTGCGGAGCGGGTTCCTCCCGGTTAGAGGAACTCCGACATTGCCGATGGCACTAACCCGGAAGTCTCCTATGCAGGTTTCTTTAGTCCCACCAAATTCATTCTAAGCAAGCACTTGCAGCATTGAACTGAGTGGGGAGGGGGAGGGGGGAGAAAGAATAAATGAATGTATGAAGAGGAGATGCTTTTTCAAAGGAGCAACTGACAGCGTGAAAAAAACAAAGGTGGGGCAGGCGATGGAGCTTGGAGAGAAGGGAGGGGAATGAGAGAGAGAGAGAGAGAGAGAGAGAGAGAGAGAGAGAGAGAGAGAGATGGGTGTTGTGAAGGAGCACTTGTGGTGAGAGAAAGCCCAAGTTGGGTGGCCAGTGAGTCGGCAAAGGAGGCAGGATGCTGAGCGCAGTGGGACTGCTCCACCTGCCATCCTCCTGGCCAGCCCTGCCCTGCCCAGCCTGCCAGTGGGGGCGTCAGCATGGTTGGCGCTTTCTTCGAAAGCACAGCGGCTGCTGCTGCTTTCCTCCTCCTTTCCCCGGTGTACTGGATGCCTCCTCTTCCTGGAGCCTCTTTGTGTGAACTTGGGCACACTGCTGCACCAGTGTAGCTAGGGCTTTTGCACAGCAGCAGGCTCCACTGGGGGGTGAATCAAGTACCCCTTCCCCAAACAAACACTGCAAGTTAATGTGCGGTGGGTGAGACTCCCATGAAAAAGCCTTGGCTATTCTGCCTTCACTATTGGGCAGTGGTTGAAGCACCCAGTGTGGAAAAAGAGCTCCCTTAACTTCTTCGCTTGCAGCTGCTGAGAAACGTAGGAGGGCGGAAACATGAAACAAAAGATTGAGGCCAGCTGTGCTTCTGCCTTCTCTCGTTTCCCATGTCAAGTCCAAGGGAGCCAGTAGAGAGAGAGATGGTTCTGGCAGGGTTGTGGGATGGGGGCACATTGGACTTGCCTTGCACATGCACACTCTCTGGCTGGGAAGGAAAGCTCCCAGACACACCGCTTCCCGGGGCACAGGTGTTCTATGTCACGCTCCTGGAGTGGGAGTTCCCAAGCACAAATATGCTCCTTTGGGGCTTGTCTTGCTACCAAAGGAAGAAAAGAAACCCCCCCAGAAATTTTGACAAATTCTAAAAATCCTCGAGGATGGGGATGTAGACCCTGAAAAAGGAGATGTGTCTGGGAAAACCCAGATGTATGGCAACCCTACCACAGGGTGGAACCCAAGGCTAAGTTCAAAGATAGTAGGGCTAAGGCAGGATTTGGAGAAAGATGGAACATCCTCTATAGAAGTGCCTTTGCCTATTTGGAAGGTCTATTTCATGTATGCATAAAAACAATTCTATTAATCCCCCCCCCCCCGTTTTCACATAATGCATGTTAAGAACATCATATGTTACCATTCTTATTTTTCTGTGGCTTCCCATATTGCTTTTATAAGACATTATATCTTCACTCTCTGAACTGCTCGTTTGTTTCTAACATTACACAAAGTATAAAATAGAAACCTGAAGCTAACACATTCTTGTTCTTCTGTTGCTCAAAATAATTTCATTCTGAATTGAAAGCTCAGTCCTTGAGGGAACTCCCAACACGCTGGGTTTTCTCAAAGCATTTGCTAGGAATTTGTAGTCTTTCCTTTTATTTAGGAGTCTAGTTGGGATTTCTTTCACTTGTAATCCTTTGGATGTCAGTCTGTAGGTTGTTCTGAGTTTGCAAAATCTTGCCCTG